CAGATCATTAAATAATTAAAAGAAAGTGGTATGAAAGTGAACGCAAGTAAGACGAAAGTTATGGTTTTTGAAAGAGAAGAAAGTAAAACGATATGTGAAATAAGAATAGAAGGAGAGGTGATCGAGCAAGTAGATGAGTTTGTATATTTGGGTTGCGTATTTAGCAGGGATGGGAGATGTGATAAGGATATAGAACGACGAGTGAACGCAGGAAATAGAGTAAATGGGGCTCTACACTCTATTGTGAAGAGTCAAAATGTTCAGGCACGTATGGCAATTCACAATGCTGTGTTGGTCCCTACTTTAACGTATGGTAGTGAAAGTTGTGTGTGGCAGAAGAAGCACGAGAGTAGAATGAACGCAGTAGAAATGCGGTCGTTAAGGAGTATGTTAGGGCTGAATCTGAATGACAGGGTGAGAAAGTGTGTGATAAAAGAAGAGTGTGGTTTGCAAGATGATGTTGTGACCAGGATTAAGAAAGGAGTGTTTCGGAGGTTTGGTCATGTGGTAAGAATGAATGAGGAAAGAGTGACAAAGAAAATTTATGTTGCAGAAGTGAATGGCAATGGCAGAGTCGGAAAGTGACATCTTAGGCGAAAATTTATCGACCAAATTAGCGATGAATTGAAAACTGGACAAATTAGGAGTACCCTTAGCCGACGAGCATGTATACGTAGATATATGGATGTGAAGGAGGCGAGAGAGCTGTGTCAGGATCGTGCCAAATGGAAGTCTGGGCGACAGGCGTAAGTGTTTATACTATTATACTAGTTGGAATAGTGCTTTATTGTCTGCTGCATATAATTCTGTTATCCATGTACGTGAGGTGTTTTAGGGTGTACTGCGTGTTATCGTTTGTCAATGTAAATCCCATGTCACTATTATCTAATACCTAAGTGTGAACGTCGTTGGAGGGCTATACAAAACCACAGAGGACTTGGAGCATCTCCTTGAAAAATTTCCCGTTTTATAGAATGGTTCAGTAGTTACACTCAAAGATGATTGTCTAATTTTAAGTACAGTTTGCGATTTTGCTTGAGTTTCTAAAAATAGTTTTAATGTTGGATGAATTTTATACAGATTTAAGACATGTAATAACCAGCTGTGCGGTACTGAATCGAAAGGCTGTTTCTTTTAAATAATTTATATTTATTCAATGATGTAATTCAGTTTTTTTTTTCATAAAATCCTTTTATTTACTAAATAATCAGTGCTTGTTGTGATTGCCTATAAAAATAAATACAATTATAATGTGCTTAATTTGTTACAAAAATGATTGGTAATTTCTGTTGGTAATCTTAATAAATAAATAAAGCCTTTTGGTAATCGATAAACATTGTGTAAAGAAAAATATCTTTCTTGCTTTTAACAGAGCTGTTCAAAATAATGCATCAATAGTAAGCTGTTCTTATTATTATCTATTACAATTATAATTATCAAAATGATAGTCACTATATTATATAGTACCTTGCGTCATATGTTAAGAACTTGAGCTCATATAGAAAGACTACATTACAGTATACGACGCAATGTACTTCGAAGTGATTTTAATTTAGATGTCAACGAAGTTGAACAGGCCTGCTGATGAGGCTTTGACAGACAGCAAAATTCCAATATTGAATGTCAAATACAGGCTGTGAAACATTCCATATTAGCCTTCAGCGGCGAACTGCACGAGCAAAGGCCACATAATGGTAACTGCTACTGCAGCCTATGGACACCTACGATCAGCTTCTCAAACAAAGGAGTAAACCCTGAGAATAAAGATGGAATATATCACAGCCTGGCATTATACCGACTCTCTTTACACAGTACAGATATGCACTACTGCTTTTTTATAGGATAGGGTGACGGACGAGCACACAGTCTACTTGATGGTAAGTGGTTGCTGTGGCCCATAAACATCTACATTTATCCTCAATTACGAATCAGAATGCAGATGTGTTGTCAGCCGTGAGGACTAGATGGAATGCCTCGTTTACAGTAAAAAGGGTCTCCGGTTCTCTACACTCACCATACGAAACAGCAGCATTCAGCTACTATTTTACAGTGGTATTCTGTAAGAGCGTGGTCCTACGCGTCCAGCCGACCCATTCGTGCTTACTTCTAGCACATAATAAATAATAGTACTACGTACTTCTAAGTGATAAAGTAGCTTAGCTAGCTGAGTATATGAATAATTATTTATTGTTAATTTAAAACCCAAAAAATATTTTTATTTAATATGTGTTGTATTTTATATTTCAGAATATTTATGCGGACGCTGACTCATGCAAATGCAAAATATATATACATAGAAGTTTTGACTCTTTTTTGTGAAACAAGATTCTGTCGAGTGCAATGCCTACGTACTAGTCTAAGAGCCAGTGAGCGGTAGACTAACGGTATTTCAATAAGCTTCACTTTTTTCACTTAGTCATAATATTATGCTGTACTTGTCAACCTATTTGCCATAACCTTGAAACCGTCGTACTACTAACTGACGGTGTCCGCCAATATTATTGTTCGGTAACTATTATTGAATATTTCAAGATCAAAGCGGCAAACTTATATTTCACGTTGTTTTCGACCATTTTTTTACATCTTTCACACCTGAGAGTCTCTTTTACAACCTCTGGTCAAACTAAAGAGTCCTCATTTCATGTACCTCAGGTATAGGGGACTAACTTAAAAAAGTGATGCCTCTTGAAATAGCGTAAATCTGCCTGTTACTGGCTCTAGACTATACTAATAGAAACAGATTGGTACGCTCTGTTCACGAGGGAATGACCCCTTAACTTCTTCACCCTCCATTTTTTTAATTTACGATCGTAACATAAAAAAACCTATGCACATAGGTTTTTTTTTATTTTTGATTTTACACAATTATACTAGGTACTACGATGTAAATGATTCGATTAAAGGATAGTTACGAAAATAAATTATTTCATAAAGTTGTATGTATACCTAATCATTGTGCAATGTCTAGTGACATGCCACCATTAAAATTATTATCAAAGTAGTTTCCATGATAAGTTTTAATTTTTAATATATTGTGCGTTTTAATTGAGTAAACGCTCGAACGTCCGCAACGCTCCGCGGGGCACGTTAGGCCTTGAGCGTGACTAGATAATGTCATTTTGTAAAGATAGGTCAGTCTAATTTCTACAGCTGAGTCGAAATGTTACAAATAAAAAAAATATTGAAATTCACCTACCTAATAGATAAAACTTGTATTACCTGTTTCCTAATAAATAAAACTTGTATTACTTGTATACTTCTTGTATTATGTAATTCGAAGTACCTATTATGTCACTTATATTAATTGTCTTTACTCAGGGGCCACTAAAACTTATTTACTTTATACTACTTTGTTAAAATTATACAAGATAAGAGGGGTGATCCAAAAGTAATGATAATGAAAATTAATTAAATAAAAAAACACGGTAATTAAAATTAAAATAATAATTTATTTCTCTACATAGTTTCCTAACAAATCAATACATTTAGTCCATCTTTTTTCTAAACCCAGGATTCCCTTTGAAAAAAATTCTTTGTCTTGACCCTCCCAAAACGCTTCAACAGCGGCCAATACTTCGCTATCGTCTTCGAATTTCTTGCCTCGGAGGCGTTCCTTGAGCCGAGGAAAGAGGTAGAAGTCACTAGGAGCTAGATCTGGCGAATAGAGAGGGTGTTCGAGCAGTTCGAATCCCGTTTCTTAAATGGCTGCCATCGCAACTACGGCTTTGTGAGCCGGTGCGTTGTCTTGGTGAAACAGCACTCCAGCTCGCAGTTTGCCGCGTCTTTTTTCCTTAATGGCCTCCCGTAATCTTCTTATTTGGTCTGCGTAGTAAGAGCCCGTAATAGTGGCTCCCTTTTCCAAATATTCCACCATAATTATGCCTTGAGCGTCCCAAAAAACAGATGCCATAACCTTTCCCGCCGAACTTGAAACTTTGAATTTCTTTGGCGTCGGTGAGGAGGCTCGCTTCCAAGTCATCGATTGTTGTTTCGTTTCAGGATCAAAATGGTGGATCCAGGTCTCGTCCATAGTCACAAAACGGAACAAAAAATATTCTTCATCTACTTGGAACTTTCGAGATTGACCCTCGAAATGTCAACTCGATTTTTCTTTTGCTCGTCGGTTAACATTCTGGGTACCCAACGCGCAGGTACCTTTTTCATATGCAACTCGTTCGCAAGGATTCTTTGAACGCTGCCATATGAGATCCCTGTGACCTCAGCTACATGCGTGATGGTCACTCTTCGATCTGCCAACACAACATCTTCGATTTTTTCACGTTGTCTTCAGTGATGGACGTGGATGGGCGTCCTTCGCGATGTTCATCTTCAGTGGACGTTCTGCCCAGTTTAAACTCCTTGGTCCAGCGTGCAACTATAGAATATGGAGGAGCAGAGTCCCCCAATGTTTCCACTAAGTCACTGTGTATGTCTTTTGAAGACATTTTTTTTCAAACAGAAGTACTTGAAGACAGCTCTAATTTCGTTTTTCTCCATGTTGATGTTATCTCTTTGACAATTCGTATTCAAATGAATGTATCTACCGAAAATCGTGATCTATTTATATAATTTTTTTTAAGCTGACGTAGTGAGTATATAAGCAAGCAAAAAATAATTTTTTTGGATTTTTATCACTGAAGTAACCAATTATCATTACTTTTGGATCACCCCTCGTAATTCTGCGTAATCTACGAAAATTATTTAAAAACAGTGTATTGTGTGTAAACTTTTTGTCATACATAATTTACTTACACATCGTTATTAACACAGAAAATTTAAATTAAATATACGTAACAAAAAATGTTAATCAGTAGATAGGTTAACATTTTCCTTTTCTGTACCCTAAATTTTAAATGCTAGAGCTAAAAATGAAAATCAAACATCTAATAAAAATAATACTTTATTGCCATTATATAAGGTTTTGTTTTATGCGCTCTTATATGTACACATTACGTATTAAAAATAAATAATAATACTACATGCTTAAGCCACCGATTACGTCAAGAACTTTGAATTAATTGCCAAATTTTAACAGTTTTGTCCTTGCTAGCTGATATCAGAGTTTTAGAGTCGACATCTAGGTGAATTGATGTGATTGAATCTGAAACAAAAAAAATTTTTTTTTAATAAACTTAACATGAATCGATCACATAGTTTTTAAGCCTTTCAGCCTTGGTATATTAAGTGACGAGTGGTGGTTGCGTAAAGAACCCATCGCATCATCGGCACCACTTCTTGGGGAATTTTATAAAAATCAAATATCTAGTCTTTCTATAGATGGTAGAATGTCATCTCGTTTAAACTAGACTTAAAATAGTTAGAATAACGACGGGCAGTGGGCGTCAAAGGTACCGTTTCGCACCCTGGTAAAAAGCGACCGTCGATTCGCCTGAAATGTGACCATTACGACAAGTCCTCCCTGCAACAGGAGAGGCTCACGTCCAGCAGTGGACTATAACGTACGGAAGGGGAGAAGATTTAGCACAACATACAAGGGTAACACTGAAAGTTCTTAGAGAATCAAAAACTGAACAAAGTAGCAAGTTATTACTTTTATTGTATCTTTTCAAAATAGTGTCCATTTACATCAATACATCGCTGCATCCGATGGAATCACTGACAAAAGCACTCTGCTCACTCGTCCTTCGACGGCATTTTGCTTAAGACTGCTTCCTCGGCGTCCATAAAACGTTTTCTTCAAGTTTTTCTTTTACTTTCGGAAATAAATAAAAATGGCAAGATCGGCGAGACGAGGTCGGGGCTATAGGGCGGGTAACGCAGTAATACCACGTCTGATGTCGCTAAGTAGACGATTAGTGTGCGACGAGCCGTTGTCATGGTGAAGAAGGATCCTACTGCGAGGTCCTTTCTTCCGAACATTTTCCAAGACAAGTTGCAAACAATTGTAAGTGTAGCACTCTGCAGTAACCGTTTTCCTTTAAAACAATTGTTTCGTAATGACTTTTCCTTCCGAAGAACGAGACGACCATCTTTTTTCCCGCGCTTCGACCTCTCTTCACTTTAGTTGGCAACTCCTCGGAACGAAATACCCAGACAGCAGACTGTCTCTTAGTTCCAGGATCATAACAATAAATCCAGTTCCTTCTGCTTAAGCTTCCTGACCACTAAATGTTCATGGAGTATTTTGTGCACTTAACTCATACCGATGCCTAAGCTTGTCCGAATCTGCTGATAAGTCACTCTTTTATCAGTCTCTATCATACGCCGCACAACACTGATGTTATCTTCAGATAGATAGAAGGCCGTCCCTCAAGATCATCGGTGAGATTAGTGCGACCATGTTTAAACTCATTAAGTAAGACAGTTTAAACTCCGCCAAATCTAAGCAAAATACCTTATAACAGATACCTACAATATTCGATTCTTAAGAGAAATCGATATCGATTCTTTAGAGTTGATAATAATTAACAGTCTTATCTATTTTATGATATCTAATATATATTTTATATATTTTATTTTTATATATTCTATATATATTATGATTCTAGATTAATACTAGAATAAATTAGAAACAGATACCTAATTTAAAACACAAAATTTAACAGTTTATTTATGATTAATGCCTACTGCTAATTTCTAGAGATAAAATTATATAAATTAAAGACAAATTTTTAATCTAGTGCAAGATTTATTTTATCTTCACGATCATTATCATTTAGCAATCGTCATAGTTGTTTACATTAATTATTACTTGATTTTCTTTAATGCATTCAAAACGATTGTCTCTTTCAAAGTCGCCCATAACATTGAAGAAAACAGAAGTTTTCTCCATCACTTGTCCTCACCTACATGGCATTGTCTGCACAGTGTGGTTGGCGTTTAGCCATGTTTTATTAACGAATATCAAGTTGTCCCATTTTTTTATATTTTTAATTTCTCTTAAAAACGTTATTCTTCGCATTCATGTCTCTAAATAATTATTTTGTGTTCGTCAATTTTTTTGTATCGGAAGCCAGTTTTTTTTTTCAAATGCTTTATATCAATGACACTATTCTTCCACTGTACAAGCCTAAACCGAAATTATAATAACTTTTTTTTTAAATCCCCAAAACAAAAAAGCTGATGATCTTCAAAAGGCTGAAAAGATTTTCTTGAATCATAGCTAAGAACATTTTTGAGACCCTTCTTTTTAGTCTCAGGTAAAAAAGTTAAGAGTTGTTTAATAATAGTGTGCGCAAATGAAGTACGTAAGGTTTAAAATAAAGCGACGGGCGTCGGTATACTATGCTCCTAAATCCTAAACCTCTATTCAAATAAATTCCAGAGGTTAAACTCAAACTACACAATGTCAAAATTTGATGTTACAACATATTATTACTATACTATACATACTTACAGCGCCTGGTATGTGGCGGCTGATTATTAGCGCCATCTGGTATCAAGCAGCAGAAGTAGGAGCGTCAAGATCTTTCTAGAACTCTCCCACTAGCGCCATCTAGTATCTAATGGAAGAACTAAGCTTTCTAGAAAGCTCCACACTCGAACTTTCTGCACCTGGTCGGTCAGGAGCCGGTATTTGCTGGAATATTCTGTATGTTTCGGTGGAAAAGGCCTATATAAAGCTATTGAGGGCCACGACCGGGGCAGTATTGAATTGGCGATACGAGCGAAGCTTTCGGAGTGAAATAAAGTGAACTAAAGTGTTAAGTGTGAATAACTATTAGTGTGATTTAAGTTTTAATTGGTGTTCAGTAATTAAAGTGTCAATTTTGGTAATTTAATCGGCAGTTTTTATTGTCACAAACCATAAGCTCGTAACAATTGGTGTTAGAAGTGGGATTCGAACCCACGCCCATAAAGTGGACTGCGCTAAGCTCGTAACATTATTGTTAAAGCCTATTAAAAGTCTAGCGCTGAATGTAGATCCCACTTATAGATTGCCTCATATTGGTACATTCCACAGCCACCCAGCTCAATGAACGGGTTGGCGACCGTAGTTTGTTTATTTTTGAGTTATAAGATGCTGATGCAGGTCTCCTGGTTTGTTTCCCTCTGTCTCCTCTTACGACACCCACACGGGACGACAAAATGTAGTATTAGGATATTCTTACACCGCCACTGCCGCTACGGTTAAATTTGCCATACGTTTTAATTTGCTAGAAATAATAAAACACAAATAATAAATAGAACTTCACATAAAATTCACTGCCCTTTAGGATTCGTAACGTTAAGTCGGTGCCTATGTTTAAGAGACTTGTTAAAGAGCACTATCATTCACACCATAATTATTAATTTGTGATGTGTAGGTATTTATATATGTAACATATATATATATATGTGTGTGTGTGTGTGTGTGTGTGTGTGTGTGTGTGTGTGTGTGTATGTATACCTTTATTTCCTTCAACTATCCTTCAATAGGCCTGCTGGAAGAAATTTCATTATGGAATAAGCAGTGCCGTTGTACATCATTTTGTTTTTACCATTTTCTTATCGAAGTATGTGTGTACATAAACTGTTAGAATATTCAGTACCATTATGAGCTTTTTGTTCATCGACTTGTGTGACGGTGATCATGTTCCACTGCAGCAAGGTGCCAGCGCTGCCGCCTAGCCACAATGTACCGCAGCCGTCCCAGCACAGTGAAGTCATTGCTTCTGACATACGCTTGTGATACACCTTCAAACAAAAATGATCTCACGAGCAAGTTCAACCAAATCAATAATTTCCAAAGACTATCAGAAAATGTCAGGTTTTTCTCGTCTTCATCAGATATCAGTTCACTACTTTCTGTACATCATTCATAGTAAGAAGCGTTTACTCTAATCGCTACACTTGAGATGCATATTGAATATACAACTTTAGCTAATATAACACTAGGTGCTACCCAACCCAATGGATCAAATATACGAGATATATCAGAAATAATGTGTCTCTTTGTAATTGGTTTTATAAACTCAAGTAAGGATATGGTGTACTGAAAGATAGTAATCAGTACTATGGTCCCAAGTAAGTCTAGTATGCTGCAAGTAGCTATGCTGCAGCTATATTATGGTGGTATCACGACTTAACCATAGTAATACCGTGCTCTTACAGAATACTAGCGTGAAACATACATGCCTTAAATGCATTCATGCCTCTGTGTTTCATATGGTGAGTGTAAAGAACCGGAGACACTTTTTAGAAACGAAGCATTCCGTCTTGGTGATCAGGGGTGGCTGCACATCTGTGTTTTGATTCTTAATCGTGAATAGGTGTGATTTCTCTATGAGTCTCAGCAACCACTTATTATCAGATAGACTTATGCTTGTATGCTTGAGGAGCGCAGTCGTAGATGCAAGGGTTTACCGGGGGTCCAACGTAGGGACGGATCATTACTTGGTCTTATGTCGAATTAATGGTCTTTTCAAGCGTTGGCGGCATCGGACATCTGTATCTACCACTGCGTTACAGCGTATAAGAATAGAGAAGTTACAAGATGAAGATGTGATAGAGAAGTATAAATGTAGACTGAGAGAAAATATTAGATGTTTGAATGAGTTGTGTATGAATGATTTAGACTTGAATACTGTGTGGGATAATATTAAGAAAGGTTTGGTGGATACCGCCACCGAAGTATGCGGTGTAAGTAAGAGAACAAATGAAAGGAAAAGTAATACGTTATGGTGGGATGATGAGGTACGGGTGGAAGTTGAATCAAAGAAGAAAGCATGGTTAGATTTACTAGCAACCAAAGCTGATAATTCTTCTGGTATGAATGATGAGATTGAAAGAAAAAAGGCAGAATTTAGACATCTAAATAAGAGAGTAAAAGAAGTTGTTGAAAGGAAAAAGAAAGAAAGAACGGATAAGAATGATAGAAGGATATCTGATAATTTCCAGGCTAACATAAAAATGTTCTGGAAACTCGTAAGAACTGCCAGGGGAAATACAAAACAGCCTATAATAAATGCTATAAGAGACGAGAATGGATGTATTCTGAATGATGAAGTTTCGAATTTAAACAGATGGAAGGAATACTTTGAAAGCGTGTTTATGAGTGAAGAGTCGTATGAATTAAATGAACTAGAAATTCCGAAAGAAGTGGAAAGGGGTATGGAGATAAGTGTAGATGAAATAATGAAAGCAATGAAAAGCATGAAAGCAGGTAAGGCAGCTGGATATGATAGAGTATCACTCGAGATGCTAAGGGCTGGAGAGGGAGTGGTGGCAGGCCTGCTGTACACCTTGTTTAATTTATGTTGGGAATTAAAACGGGTACCGGATGACTGGTGTAAAGCAGTTATAGTACCAATATATAAAGGAAAAGGGTCACAGCAGGACTGCAAAAACTACCGCGGTATCAGCTTGCTTAGTATTGTGGGTAAACTGTATGCTAAGGTGTTAATTGAAAGAGTTATGAAAGAAACTGATGGAAAAATTTGGGATGTGCAAGCGGGTTTTAGAAAGGGAATGGGGTGTACAGATCAAGTCTTTTCCATGCGCACGATTGCGGAGAAGTTTTTGGCCAAAAACCAGAAAGTTTTTTGTGCGTTCATGGACTTGGAAAAGGCTTATGACAGAGTGGACAGGAATGTGTTATGGCAAACACTAAACTCATATGGGTTGAGCGCTGGTTTGATACAGGCATTAAGGTCTCTTTATAGGGACTCTAGTGCTTGTGTCAGGATCAATGGGGTCTACTCGGACTGGTTTGGCATCCAAAAAGGTGTCAGACAGGGCTGTGTGGCTTCCCCTTGGCTGTTCAACCTATTTATGGACCGGTGTTTGCAAACTTTGAAAGATGAAGAATGTGGGTTAAGAATGGGCGAGTTAACCGTCAAATGCCTTTTGTATGCCGATGATCAAGTCATACTTGCGTCATCGGCGGCAGAGTTGCAAATGATGGTTACATTAATGAACTGGGAATTAAAAGAAAGGGGAATGAAAGTGAACGCAAGTAAGACGAAAGTGATGGTTTTTGAAAGAGAAGAAAGCAAAACGGTATGTGAAATAAGAATAGAAGGAGAGTTGATTGAGCAAGTGGATGAGTTTGTGTATTTGGGATGTGTATTTAGCAGGGATGGTAGATATGATAGGGATATAGAACGACGAGTAAATGCAGGGAATAGAGTGAATGGGGCACTACACTCTTTTATGAAGAACCAGAATTTGTCAAAACAGGCACGTATGGTAATTCATAATGCTGTGTTATTCCCTACTTTAATGTATGGTAGTGAAAGCTGGGTGTGGCAGAAGAAGCACGAAAGTAGAATAAATGCTGTAGAAATGCGGTCTTTAAGGAATATGCTAGGGTGTAATCTGAATGACAGGGTGAGAAATTGCGTGATAAGAGATAAATGTGGTATGCAAAATGATGTTGTGACCAGGATTAAGAAAGGAATGCTTCGGCGGTTTGGTCACGTAGAAAGAATGAATGAGGAAAGAGTGACAAAGCAAATTTATATGGCAGATGTGAATGGCCGAGTCGGGAAGGGACGCCCTAGGAAAAAGTTTATCGACCAAATTGGCGATATTTTGAAAATGGGCCACGTTAGAAGTACCCTTAACCGACGAGCATGTATGCGTAGATATATGGATGTAAAGGAGGCGAAAGAGGTATGTCAGGATCGTGCCAAATGGAAGTCCGTAGTCTCTGCCTACCCCTCTGGGTGACAGGCGTGAGTGTTTATGTATTTATGTATATGTACTTATGCTTGTTTGTCATTTATATTTGTATTAAAAATCTTTCAATTAGGTAATCTGTGATGGAGGCCTGCGTACAGCAATAAATCTGCGTAAATCAATGTGTAGTGTTCACTTAAGTTTTGCAAATAAATATAAGAAATCGGTCTGCATTTCCACATAAATTTTAACCATCCCCTAGACTTCAAACGGCGATCGGCTGAACATTTTTATACAACAAATATTTTAAAACACTAACTAAATATATTATATTTGGATTGGAATTTCAGATCCATAGACAACTGAACAGGTTTGAAGATGAAAACAGACGGACATGGCCAAACTGCTCCATTGCAATTACAATGTATAACATCTCCCCCAAGAGTCACAAATCCATAGGCAAGGATCCTGACCCCTTCTTTATCACAGGATCATCAGTGTTGACATCATTTGTAATTATTGATCCGCCTACAATAATGTCTTTTCTATAAATGAGAAAGGTAACGTGCACAGTCCACATGTCAGATACATATACCTACATCTATTCTTTATTGAAAATAGAAGAATATGCAGATGCCATATTGATAAAAACTCGTTAATTTCATGAGTTCCCTTACCGAGTGCAAAACGCTCAAATCCGTTACATATATGTCGCCATCTTCGCTGCTTGTAACGATACTATCTCCGGATAGAACGAGAGAAACTCCGCAAACTGGTGACGAGTGAATTCGAACCTTGTTCATCAACCCTTTAGATGTGAAATCCCATATGAATACCTCGCCGTCGCTCGTTCCCGTTATTATATCCAGCTCAAAACGTCGATACCTGATTGAATTTGAATGATAATAATATAATTAAAAAATATGGTCCTTCACCACAAGCAATATGAGAAAGCTTGTAGGCTTCCTTGAAAATGTCTATATTCAATGGTGGATTTGCGAGGACTTATAATAATCATGAAAATTTAAATGCTAGGAGTGGTATGACTCTTTTACTGCTTAAGATGGTATTATTACTATTGGATGGTATGGTGGATTTGCGAGGACTTATAATAATCATGAAAATTTAAATGCTAGGAGTGGTATGACTCTTTTACTGCTTTCTTACGTGGTAGAGCCATGCTGCAGTTATATTAATGGTTAGTTGTAGCACGAATGGGTCGGCTCGACCAGGGAGGAACTACGCTCTCACAGAATACCAGCGTCAAATAGTAGCTTAATGCTGCTGTGTTTCGTATGGTGAGTGTAGAGAACCGGAGACCCTTTTTACTGGAAACGAAGCATTCCACCTAAGTCCTCACGGGTGACAACGTATCTGCATTTTGATTCGTAATCGAGGATAGATGTGGATGTCTATGGGCCACAGCAACCACTTACCATCAAGTGGACTGTGTGCTCGTTTGTCACCCTATTTTATAAAAAAAGACGGACTTTCTTAATCTATTCTGACACGAAGCAACAGTGCTTCCTTGTTGCATTTTGAAGGATATGAAAGCCAGGATAATTACAGGCTATGAGAATATCAATTCATTGCAGTAATTCTTGAGGTTTTCACCATAAAGACTAATCGATAGAATTTATTAAATCATAGTTTGTACATACCAACTACCAACTAAACCGTCGTCGTGTAGTGTAGCGTCGGCGAAGAGAATCTACTAATCCATAACTTTCCATGAGTGTGGTAAGAGGCAACAGAGGTATTTTATACATGGTAGTATGCTGCAGCTATATTATGGTCGACTCAAAGTGTGGAGATCAGGAGACCCTTCTTTACTGGAAGCGAGGCATTCCATCTTAGTCCGGGGTGACAACACATCTGTGTTTTGATTCTTAATCGAGGATATATGTAAATGTCTATGGGCCACAGCATCCACTAACCATCAGGTGGACTGTGTGCTCGTTTGTTCACCTTATTCTATTAAAAAGGGGTATTGAAATGCAGAGATGGGCAGCAGCATCTTCTTAACGACTAAAATAAAAAAATGCGGCTACTACATAAATAATCCGCCTATAACAGCTATGGTAAATATGTGGGACTTATATCATAGTTTGATGTTTGGTAATCTATGGGGAAGACCATATATATGGGTGTGTGAATAGAATTAAATGGTTAAACGAACTTACCTTAAGTGAAGTTCAACCATAATTATACGAAGCTCCTTGTCCTAGACATTCTTAACAATTGTAGATGTTTGAAGACAGGGTTGCGAATTTATAATACCAATGAATGGAAATTTGCAATTTTCCTTATTTTATAAAAAATGTTGAACATATTGCCTGTATAGTAAATTTAAATTAATAACATAAATAAATTATCGTTATTTCATGACCTTTCATTATACACATAAGGCCAGCTTGATTGCAGCAGAAGTGGCCCTGTGGAAGAATTATGACTGAAAAAGAAAACAATCTGGAATATCTATTCCAGTTTAATTTAACATCTTATAACTTACTTAAGAAATACTATTCTAAGTGGGTTAAATTTATCACTATCTTGTGTTCTGTTTTCTATTAAAATATTCACAAGAAAGGCTCAACCCCTTCTCATTTATTTTTTCCCATACAAACCCTGTTGAAGTGAAATTCTATCTATATACATCTGAACTCCCGTTTGAATAAATGTAATACGAGGGTGGATTGAAAAGTACTCGGCCTAACCAAGAAAATAAACACATACTAAATCAGTTATATTTTTATTTTTCTACATAATCACCATCAAGTTCAATACACTTTTGCCACCTCCCCTTCCAAGCATTTAGACCGTTGAAAAAAAATGATTCTTCCTTAGAGTCAAAATATGCGTCTACAGCTGCTTTGACCTCGTCGTTTGTCGAAAATCTTTGACCTCCCAAGTGCTTTTTTAGGTTAGGGAACAGAAAGAAGGCTGATGGTGCCAGATCAGGTGAATACGGTGGATGCGGTAACAGTTCAAAGCCACAGTTGTGAATTTCAGCCATTGACTGTACTGACGTGTGAACACGGGCGTTATCTTGATGAAACAGGACTTTTCTTCTGAGCATTCCTCGACGTTTTTCTTTTATTTCCTCTCGTAAACGACGTAGTAAGGTGCAGTGGTAATCAGAGTTTATAGTCTGACCCCTTTCAAGATAATCAATCATAATCACACCTTTCGAGTCCCAGAATACTGAAGCCATCACCTTATTTGCCGACAAAATCGACTTAGCCTATTTAGGGGGTGGTGAACCAGGTCTTCTCCACTGTTTTGATTGTTGTTTTGTTTCCGGTGTACAGTAATGAACCCATGTTTCGTCCATAGTAACAAAACGATTCAAAAAATCATCTGCATCGGCTTCAAATAACTCCAAACAGTCGCGTGAAATAGTCAATCGCGTCCTTTTTTGCTCAACTGAAAGCAGTCGCGGAACTCACCTCGCAGACACCTTGTGGAAACCCAACTCGTTGACAATGATGTTTTGAGTTCGTTCATAAGAGATGCCTATAATCTCGGCTATCTCTCTAATTTTTAATCTGCGGTCTCCCAATATTAAATCATGTACTTTTTTAATATTTTCGTCAATATTTGACGTCGAGGGCCTTCCAGAGCGGGGTTCATCTTTCACACTCTCTCTACCACGCTTAAATTCTGCTATCCATTTTTTGACGGATGAATATGACAGAGCACAATCGCCTAATGTACTGACCATATCATCATGGATGGCTTTTGATGATAGCCCCTTCTTATGGAGGTACTTAATGACGGCACGCTGCTCGATTTGCTCCATTCGCGGAAATTATGTCCGATTACTTTGTTAATAAATTTATAAAATCACAACTAATTATCGCACACGTTTCGAACTTCACACAATGAACTAGTCTGAACTGAACTAAATAATGTGGGTAGATTTGATTTTTAGAATTGAATGGATCTGTGTTAGGCCGAGTACTTTTCAATCCACCTATTGTTGAAGGACCATGTATGTATATTATAACCTATAATAGTGAATTTGTTCGATAATTTATCATACTTGTTAATAAATGGGCACAGTGAATCTGATTTTATTATTTAATAAATGTTTTAACTTTATTTATTTTATATACACGTGCACCTACCTCGAACAATAGGATTTTTGTTTACCTTTGATCGGTTGGCTCCATTTAGGATATCTTCCTTTCCCAAGTACATAATCAAATTATTAACACGCAGATACGTAATAAATTTATTTGTTATAAGTTTTGGATACAAAATATTTGATTTTACTAAACATATTTAATTTTTACAACAAAAATTATAAAAACACACCGTGATGGCTGGCACAAAAAAACGTAATGAAGTTGCATTTTCGGACGGGTTGATACAGTGTTGCCAGATATACTGCTTTTTTTAGCGAGCTTAGATAAATTGTGATGCTGGCATGGAATGTGGCGTACTACAATTGTTAAGAATGTCTAGGACAAGGAGGGAGTATAATTAGGAAAAGTTATGAGACTGACATGGGGTATCTTAATTCTGAAATTTCTTGAACGAGTTCATGAAGTGACGATGAGGGGATAGGATTAAATTTTTAAGTTGATAAATTGCTCATGATAGATAAGTTACGTATAAGTCAATCATAATTTTTGCCGAATTGACAGTACAAAAACCCACCTATAAGTTACTGCAGTGATCTTCTCGTCATGGTCAAATTCCGCTTTCAAGCCGCGCAAAGCTTGACCGATTTTTCCCACGTTGCCCCACACACGTACCACCCCATCCCATCCGCCAGATATTAAGAGCCGTTCTGTAATTTGAAAACCGCATTAAAATGCACATGACCAAATTAATCCGACATTTCCGGCACAATCCCGGAATTCACTGTTCTGTATCACAGTACAATAAATAGTTGATATTTGTTTTTCATTGAATGTCTACTTCAACTTAGTGTACCTGATGGTGAATGGTTACTACAATGCATGGACACTAGCAGCCATTTTCAAACAAAGGCTACAAATACGTTGTCACATCTGAGTACAAGCATGGAATGTAAATGCTGCGGCCCATAGACATCTACATCTATACAAGATTACGAAAAAAAATGCTAAGGCGTTGTCACCCAGAGGACTAAGTTGGGTTGCCTCGTTTAAAGTAAAAAGGGTCATAGAAGCCTTGTGCTGCTATTTGACGCTAGTATTCTATGAGAGCGCGGATTCCCCGGTCAAGCCGACCCATTCGTACTACAACCATAATATAGTAGCAGCGTAGCTCCATCACAATAATAGTCAAATCATTTTATGTATGGCAATGTTAAGTGATCTTTATGCGTATGCTTGTGGTGTAAAGTAGAAAGAAGAAAAGAGGACAATTAACATTATGTTGATTGTGATACATTTGTGTATAGACAAGGTATTGCATTACTTGCCTAGTCTCAAACTTACAGCCAGTACAGTGCAGACATAAAACAGAACAGAGCTCTAAATAGAATAATACTGCACTCTTAGTTCAAGTGTAAAATATAATTTTAATATGAATAAAACATAACATAAACACTTATGTTGGTCACCCAGAGGGGTTAGACCGGGACGGACTGCCATTTGTCACAATAATGACGAACACATCTTTCATTTTTTTACATCCATATATCCACGCATACATGCTAATATGCTAATTAATATAAAAAAATATAAAATTAGTATTACCGCAATAACCAGACGGTATTTACATAGTAGATATTATGTATTATGTAAATACTGTGTAAATACTGTCTGGTTATTGCGGTTTTTATAGTTCGGGAATTTTCTCATCCCTGTTTAAAATTCAATAAACTAAATTATAAATTGTAACTAAATTTATAAAGAAAACGTACATAGTTTTTTTTTATTATTGTTTGCTATGAATATGTAATATTAAATGTTGTCATATAAACGAGGTATATCTTAAGATAAAATATGACTAATTGTAAATCTCGTGAATATCTTGAGGCCCCGTGCGCGAAATCAACTCATTTCGGACAAATCTGATCACTATTTGTGTGAACAGGAAAACGAATTTTAACTTTTTTTTATTTTTATTATAATAGTCTAGTTCTTAATCTAATATCTGGCTTGAAGGGATGTATCATATTATCTATATAATAATGGCAAATCACCAATATTCACAACCCTTTTTCCGAAAAGTAACGATCAAGTGATTTTTGTCTTTGTTTTACAACGAAACTACAAAATATTTCAAACATTAAAAAATATAAATAACATAAGTATACGGTCTACTTGTTTGTAGCCATATCAGTTTTTTTTTAATTTCTAACCAAATATAGCAGAAAAAAATTGTTGAAATAACGTAATTTCCAGAAATCTTCGTTCGAAATAAGTATTTTTTTCTATTACATAGAAACACTTTTAATTAATTTAAAAAATTACACATTAATCTTAAGATAACCCTTTATTGGAAACTAAATTTTATTTCATAAATAAATAATAATTTTGTTTATTACTAAATGGCAAAGAGAACTATATTATCGACCGCGCAAAATCGATCCGATCAGTGACGACCGAGCCTTCCCAGAGCGAGGTCATATCACTTTTACGTAAACATTTCCAGAAATTGTACGCCGACCACCAAATTTTGATCAGGGTAAGTATAATGATTTCTTATATTTACGCGAACACTACACATTGAAATAATACTAGTTTTTACGGATTTTATCGCGTATATTTAACTATAAATACCCGACGTTTCAAGCGCTTTACAGCACCCATGGTCACGGGGAGGACTGAGATGTTCAACGTCCAAATGTCATAGTTAACAGCGGTTACCGTAGAATAAAATTTAACTTTTGTTCCGATCTACACAGTATGAACTTATGGTATCTTGAAGTCTTGCAGTTGTATGCTTGGGTTGGGATTTAATTTTATTTATTATAGGATCCCAAGCAGATGGCAGCACCCAGCCATCTTCTCTATTGAAATTAGGATGTTTTTTGATTTCAATAGCCTCGCGAATCATCCTTGGAAGGAATCGGTGTTCTTTAGCGAGGATTTGTGGTCTATCAAATCTGATGTAATGACGGGGGCGATCCTGTACGTGTTCACAGACTGCAGGGAAGTTTGTGTTGTTGCACGCCTAGTCTTTATATAAAAAGTTCAGGTGTGCGTGTTCGTAATTATTGTTATCCTAAACGGCTATACCAATTATGATGATTTTTTTCTTCGTATGGGATCACCTGGGTGGTTCTTAGTACCTAATAGTTAGACCCGGCTGCTGTCTCAGTACGTTTGCTATGTTCATTGATATTTTATTTTTGATAGTTTTTTTTAAGATCTCATAGAATTATGTCCGCATGAAATAATGCAAAAATACCACCCGCGGCTGCATCGAATTGGGTCATAATTAAGATACCTAAATTGTGATCTATGGCAGGGTGACGAACCTATAAAGATCAACGTGCCATTCTTTGTAAATAAATGTTTAAAGTGGCCATAGATGTGCCATCCAATAATTGAGACCTATTAATCATTGGGAAAATAATAAAAACAATAATAGCAATTCCACGCACCGCGCCTACTCACTCCGTAACGTAGGCTTAGTCGCGTTCTTTTGTTTTTCATAGTGTTTGTTACGTACTTACTAAACTAAATAGGCCGAATGTTTTATCAAAAATACAAGTATCTACAAATGGATGCCTCATGGACAAAAATAAATTCAAAACATTGAGTAAATATTATAAAAGAAATGAGTATTATTAATTTTAAAATCAAAGTATTTACTTGACGTGTACGTCACGCACTCGTGCTCTGTATTTTATTTATCCCTTTAACATTCCGTTTCTCATATACGGCCTAATATTTAAATTTAAATGTTTTGCATTTACAAAAACTTTGTTTTAATGAAATCACGATGTTTGATTTTCGGGCAAATACCAATAAGACATGTTAAATTTGTCTGTACTCTCTAGCAGACATTAATGACATCGCGGAACGAAAACATTGAATTACTTAAATATATATGCATAGTGTATTTGTCTAACACGTTTCTTTTTTATTCTCATTTTATGTTGATTGTAATAAATATTAAAATACTAAACTATTATACAAAAATATCCCAGACATTTAGTTCTAAACCGTACTTACTATGTATCCTAAAATAATTATCAACTAAAGGATCAAAATTGTTTAAGCGAGCACTGCGCTCGGTCTTTAGCCGTGTGTGCGTAAACGATGCACACAAAGATAGCACCGCAATGAATTTGCCTAAACTCTATCGAATAAATTTTCTGCACGGCCTCTTAATAAATGCATTATTTCTAAAGTAATTAAATACAATTATACCTTTCATTAGCCAAAGTAGACAACTAACAGAATCGTCGTGTGCACGGAAACTCTCCACAACCCTTCCGTATTCCACGTTATACAAGTATCTGAAAAAATAGAAATAGAAATCATACAATTTCAATTGAGTTTGGTATCAATGTAAGAATATCCAACATCCCACTTCGTCCAATAGGTGTCGTTACAGGCGAGTACAGGCAAGGCTACAAAAAGCTCATGGCTTCCGATAGATGGCGGTAAGCCAAATGTAAACATCGAGACTGACGATTTTTATATTATGGTAGAGGTGCTCTGCAAATATGTTACGAATGCAGCTATTTAAGCTATCAGCTTCACCAGAAAAGACAACGTGGTGTTCTCACAGAATACCAGCGTAAAACAGCAACGTAGTAACAATCATACAGATCTGAAACAATTATTTGTAGGCCATAAAAATATTAATTCCGTGTGGGATTCGAACCCGCGGTTCTCAGCGCCACAACTTAAGGTGATACCTCGATTTTTTTTCTATTCAACATATTTCTTTAGTTTTATAGATTACAAACCAAAATTTTGGTATATGATTTTTGACTATATGACCTTGGATTGCATAAAAGAAAAAGACGATAATATCATGTAATTTTCTCGATAGACAAAAAAAAATTGCAAAGTAGGCTCTAATTATTTACATTTCTCCATGACACCACAATATGCTTACGAGTAAGTTCACGGAATTATTTTAAAACATAGTAAATAATCATTCTCATAAACCAGTTTTTTTTAAAAATATATAACAAAGTTTTGTTAAAATAAATAAAAATGTTGTTTGGCGCTTACTTAGTTTTTTCCGAGCGCTTGCTCGGTATGGCTATCTCATAATTTGCGTACTATGAAGTCATTTCAATTGCATCACTTTCATTTTGACACTACCTCTGTCGTCCGTTAGCTTCACCGACAAAGGAATAAGCCACGCCCTCAAAACCTCGAATCATTTTCAAGGTATCCTCTTAATGCTAAGCTTCTGTGCCACTGAACCGTTATACTTTTTGAGGTAATGCAAATAGAATCGGTTTGTTTTGTTTAAGGTGCTACATGAACTCATTATTACTATTCGTGTTACAATAATGTTAAAACTTCTTCAAAATGCCAATCTCATTTTTTTAAGCCAATGCAAATTTAAGAATACTTACATTTCATTATCCCATGAACCAGCTGCGACTGTATGTTCATCAACCATCACGCAAGAACTTAAAGGTGTCGAACACAAGACTACACTCCGCATCTGTTTGCCTTGGCCCAAATCATATACTTTCAGAGCGCCATCCTTGCCTACGGAAATAATTTTCGAGCCTTCCCGAAGCACACAAGTGACAGCTTCTTTATGTAACCGTATCGTATTTATACATTTTATTTGAACCGGTCGAATTTCGCTTCCCCCGTGATTCAATAATTTTGGAATTTGTTGTGTAACCTTTCTAACGTGTGGTTTAGTAAAAAGTTGCTTAGGCACTTGTCCGAACTCCATTATCTGTACTTCTAATGCGTGTCTATCATTCATATCGTAAACGCATTCAAGATCAACTGAACCTTCGTAGCATACGTGATGAAATACTAAAATAAAGAAAAACATTTTATGTTACAACTAATTTCATTTTAGAAGAAATTTGTAGTAGTGCCTATGGATTAATACACAAAACAATGCAATTTTTACACAATATAGATATTATTGTTGTAGCACGAATGGTTCAATTTGACTAAGGAAAGGCCACGCTCTCACAGAATACCAGCATAAAATGCTGCTGTGTTTCGTATGGTGAGTATAGAGAACCGAAGACCCTTCTTACTGGTAACGAGGCATTCCATCTTAGTCCTCAGGGGTGACAAAGCATCTACATTTGGTTCTTAATCGAGGATGGAAATATGTCTATGGGCCACAACGACCACTTACCATCAGATATCTGCTCGTTTGTCACCCTTATCCTATAAAAATATACCTGTGCTGTATTTTAAATTTTAAACTTTTTTAAATTTTACTTTTAAGAATATCCGTAGTTTGGTTTATCCATTCCTAATCTAATTAACTTAAAAAATAACTAATATATCAGAAAGAAACATTTATCTCTACACTTTTCTAACGAATTAACCTCCCCTGCTATGAAGTCTGTAAAATATTTCACGTCATTCCATGGTGGCAGTGTTCTAGTGGCAGAAAAGTTGATGCCCTCATTATGATACATTATTTAAAACACTAGCAGTAAATTATATTAGCGGACTCTCTATGGCGTGTAAAAATATCATTATCTACGATATTCAGTTTTATTGCACAGCCACGCAGCGACTATATTATAGTGTAGCATGAATGGGTCGGGTTGACCAGGAAAGGACCACGCTCTCACAGAATACCAGCGTAAAATTCTCACAATAACAACTGGTATTCTCACAGAATACCAGCAGCTCAATGCTGCTATGTTTCGTACCAGCTGGAAGAAGGTAGCCAGGCAGCGTGACAACTGGAGGAAGATCGTGGAGGAGGCCAAGACCCACAAAGGGTTGTAGCGCCAACAGAAGTAAGTAAGCTGCTATGTTTCGTATGGTGAGTGTAGAGAACTGGAGACCCTTTTTAGCTTTTTACTGAAATCGAGACATTCCCCCAGGTCATCAGGGGTGATAAGGCATCTTTTGATTCTTAATTGAGTATATATGTATATGTCTATGGACTACAGAACCTACTTACCATTAGGTGGACTGTGTGCTCGTTTGGCACCCTTATTCTATAAAAAAAATTGATTTTTTTAAAATTATTTTAGTTCTTTGAAATCAGCTTAGTAAATACTGTTTAAATGTTAATTGCTTTGGTCAAACATTTAAAAGAAAATTAAAATGGTATAAAAGACACCCTCAGTCCACAGCTATTCCTGAAGGAAGTTGTTAAATGCAGGCTCAGGACCATGTTTGGTAGCATTCTTTTGGGAGGCCTATGTTCAGCAATGGACTCATGAAGGTCTGTAATGAAGAATGATGATGACATACATATTATCTAAAAACTTGACATTCAATTCTTTTAATCATCTGTGCATTCATTTAATAATAATATTTTAAGTGCTTAACATTTGAATAGAAACAAACCATTGTTAGCCTTGACCGCTTCTTCACCTCTTTGCTTATAACCAAAAATGAGATCAATCCATAAATGCAAATGTCTAGAAACAAAATCAGACTCCAAAGCTTCACGTAGAGTTAATACAAATTCCTCTGGCGAGCCTGCCCATGGTGGAAGTGTAACGTTATTGACTTTAGACCCGTCGTAACGTTCCCCAAAGTCTATTTCATGCTTATTTACTAGAAAATCGCCCTTAGCACTCGTGTCATAAAACTCTGGAACTAATTCCTATAAAATGAAATAAAATATTAGTACGATACTGCTAGACTATTATATCTTTCGCATTTCTTCCTTGTCCTCAAGTCAATCAACCGATCACCCCTACGAGCAATGCATCTGTAACTGGTATTGTATTAAGGTGGTTACAGTTGCAGGTGTGTCCATGGCATACTAAGCAATCTGATAGTTTCATTGCCAGTCTAATTATAAAAATTGGATTTATTGTACATTTTCTGTCAGAATGTTTTTAAAATCGTCAAATTTCGAAGAATATGTTTATTTTGAAGGAAAAAATCGAGATATGTAAAGACAAATCCAATTTTTATAACGCTACAGTGACAATGAAAAAACCAGATAACTTTATTTCTTTATTTCAGACACTTTTAAAATACTTTCTGACAGGAAATGTACAATTATTTTCCCATAAAATTTGCGGTAGGAAGTAAAAAGTCGAGTTTTTGTTAGAAATTTTCAAGCTTCAATTTAGTAGTTCAATTTGGTGGTTTTAGTGTATGGTAATAGAGAAGTTGCATGTTTTTTTTGTAAGTTTGCTAAAAAGTATTTAAAAAATAACAATTGATTTTTTATGTGATTTCACGATTAAAAATGGTTTTTCCACAATGTTAATTCAAACGCCAGTGGTTTGGCGTTTGAATTAACATTGTGGAAAACTGACGACCAAACTGATGGTTCAAATGTATTAAATAATTTTATGCGGTGCGGCTATTAAATTAAATAGAGTAGTGGACTGTATATTAGCGCGGTGCGAGCGGTGAATGGAATTTAATTTTATTGTGATACTGCAAATGCCCTAAATTCGGGATATAGGAAGGACGTGAAGGAATGCATGTGCACCCACCTGGACTTCCGCTGATCTGCCTCGTGTCTCGATGGCTGCCGGCTTTCTTCACACTTATCAACTTCACAGACAATCTTCACAGATAATCACGAAATATAGCGTTATTGCAAATGTCTATACTTTTTACTATATGCTTGTATAATTCAATATCCAAATCACACAAGGGCGGGAGCGATGACGCGAGATATAAGCGATGCGGTTGGTTGCGTGTCTTCTCAACTTGTGTGAGCCCCGTTAACACGAATGCACATGCTGGGCATAAAAAGGCGGTAGATAGGAAACCCTCGGAAATGGGCTTTGCAGTAATCTTATTGGATAATAATTAACGAATCTCTTATAAGCGTTAGGTGATAGTGCAAAGTGGCGCGAACAGCCAGTGACGTCATATTATATCGCTTTAGTACCTCCACCGGATAGTGAAATGATAAAACACTCATTGTCAAAATAAATAAATAAATTGTCATTGCATTAACATATAATACAGGCTATATGTTTTGTTATGATACATGGTGATCTGAATTTAGAAAATACTGTTGTGTTTTCTAAATTCGGATAATCGTAATATATAGCACGATTGCGATTCACTCACAGACTCAATGGATATAATGACGTCATAACCAATCGTCGTTTTTCCTCATTCAAAATGCCGGCATCTTCTAAATTTACTCACAACTTCTCCACAGTGGTATTCAGTTATAAAAAAGTTAGACTTGTTTAATTCCTAATTCATATAATTTATGCAATTCTACAAATAATTTTTTTATAGACAAATAATAAATTAAAAAATGTAAAGGTTCGATTATTTGAATATTTTACCGATTATTCGCTTTAGCATGAATTTGAATCATCCAAACACTATGCTGAGGTGCAAAACGACATATGATTGAAACAATGTCAAGCAGAAAAGTTGATTTGGGTTAAATTTTTCATATTTTGCTTTGTTTGAAACATAATCAAATTTAAATTAGATAAATAACTATATATTATGTAGTAATGAAATATATAGGTATTAACTTCATAATTCTTTAGATTTACGTAAAAGGTTATTTTAAATTGTGTGAGTACGCTTGTACAGAGTTATTGCAGAATAATTAATATTTAATGTCAAAAAGTATTTCTTAGATTTAGTTAAGTATAGATAACTATTAACACTATGATTAAAGAATCTTTAAAAAAATTATATTATATTATAATATGACATTTAATTCAAAACGAATACCTACCTTAAAGTCGGACATGTTATTCAAACAGTTGTTGTACACATCTCGCACCGAATTGAACATTCTATCAGGATGATCAAATTTTCCATTTTGTAAACACAACATATACCGTGGATATTTTCGAACCTGTAACATATTATGATCACAAGATGATAAAATTTATAAAAGTAATGTTATATAATAGTAGATCGGTTGAATATATCACATTGTTAGACAATTTCTTTTTTAAATCAAAGCTAGCATTTCATAAACTTAAAAATCAACCCTAAATCAGAATTATTACATAAAACACGCATAAATGTGGCACCCAATTTTTTAAAAATTTTACTATCCAAACGTAAATAAATGAAACAATCTAGTCAAGATTACGGGAACGTAAAATGATTTTTTAAAAACTATTTAAAATTTATTTTATTTCTTAATACAATTATAACTACTTAATTAATACGTCTTGACAGAAGTCGATGTCAAAACGAAGTGGCCGCTCCCACGAGCTCTGCCTGATACCTCATGCAACCAAAAGCGCTGACTCTACAGTTACTGGATACTGTCTAATGCTTATGCAGCCCCCTCTAAGTACGAACCGTAACAACCCTATGGTCTTGTGGTTGCATAACTATTTTTAAATCTCCATTAAAATGTTTATTATTAAAAGTACTATATGAAAATATCGACGGGTGCAAAGTAAAAAAAGCTAACTGCAATTTTGAGATTTTTGGTTTTTTGTAAAAACTAACTTAAAATATCATGTTCTACAACATAGCAAAAACAAAAATATAAATATCACCTTATTTTTGGTACTTTTGTCACGTAAAAGAAGACAACTACGCCTGTTTTGTGAAATTGCACGATGTAGATGCGGACAACTACCGCTGACCGTTTATACGCGGGACGCGCGGGGGGCCAGCGGTCAGTCATATTGCGTCATCAGTCAGATGACATGTGCTTCGCCGGCCGGCACGAATATTTGTTTGTTTTGGTTTGTTAAGTGTTATAGTGTGTGTAAAAGTGTTATCATATTAGTAAACAGTTTGAGTTCAACACAAAAGACATGGAAAGACGTAAATTATTGGTGAATTTGGGCAAAACGGGACGACAATGCGATATTATGAACCGAGAAGATCTATTACAACTTATCGATAACAGCCGTGAAACTAGTTCTTGTACGTATTTTTTATAGTACAAGTTTAATGTTATTGTTATTTTGAAGTTAAATCATAATTAGTTTTTGTAATTATGAAAATAGGTTATCATAGATATTTTTTTACGAAACTACGCATAAACGGCTATCTGCCATTAAGCTTTTTCTACGTTGTGATTGTGATGTAGATGTCTCAATTTACTTTTGTAAATTAGTATTGTTTGTTATGTTTATGAGTACCTACCTATGTTAATTCTTATTGTTAGCTATACAACATGTAACAAAAACCCTGTGGTTCCCGTTAACTGTGTTATCAGAATCAGTATCCAGGCATATGGAAATAATTTTTTTTTCTAAAAAACGCATTTAAAAAAATTAATTTTAACCCGGCGAGAATGTGGAGGGGTCAGTTTGACCCTAACAAATTTAAAGCGGCTAGATTTTATATTTCGCGCGGGTGCACGTTTTCGAATGTCTCAGTATAGTTCATTTCAAATAGCATGGCAGGATTGTACTTGAAGCGGTCATTAAGCGATAACAAAAGAAGTGGTATTTACAACCGATACCTGGGAAGACCTTATCTTGACGTGGTATTTTTGTGGCAGCAAACAAGTTTTGATGCTTTTGTTAAATACACGATGACATTGTTGTCAAAAATTCAGTCGTCTTGTAACTTCGTTATTACACAGACGTAGAAATAAACATGTTTCGACCATGGGAAATATCAAATAACAAATAGAAAAAATTCCCAGCACAAACACTAGGAAAAGTGACATAATAAGTTTTTTAAGAAGTCATAACATTTCTGTGCCAGAGAAATCAACAATTAAAAGTTTGTTGGAAGTAGTCAAAAACAATTATTTTGAAAAAAAAAATATGTGGTCGATGAATTAGCACAAGAGGCTGGTCATGAGATAATGAGACTCCCACCTTATTATTGTATATTGAACCCAATTGAGTTAATGTGGAGTCAAATAAAAAAAACTGTCCGTAAGTCAAACGTTACGCCTACAATAGGGGAAAATGTAATCCAAAGTGTACGAAACGTAATAAATTCTACAAATCCCATTTTTTGGAAGAATGTTTGTGACCATGTCATAAGAGTGGAAAACGAATTTTCGAGGGATCGGATATAACCATTTATAATAAATACGTGTGAGGACACAGATACCGATGAATGTTCTTCAGAGTGATTGATTAAACAAAATATTAACAAGTTGTTATAAGTATTTAAAATAGTTAAGTTAAAAGTAATAAAGGTTTTTTATCTACAATTTAATTTGTTTTAATGTTCAAGTACCAAAATTCGTCATTCCAGCTATACTGGTTCAGTATTATCAACAGATGCTTAACTTCAAGTGTTAAAGAAATAAAATAATCACACCACAATAGATTAACATTACAGCTGTAATTGCTAAGTCTCAAATGGAATCCTGCCATCCTATTTGAAATGAACTATAGCTGTCACGAATAGACCACAGCGCACCCCGCACGCCTCTATTTAGTCGGCCGTCACCTGCGATGGGAGTTGGACGTGCGCAAAGCGAATAAGGGTGAATATGACCCCGCGACAATCGCGACGTAACATTTTTTTACGATTTTTTATTTTTGTTTTATTTGAATATTGTTGTGTTTTTAGGTATTTTTGATTAAAATGAGTCGGCAAGAAAATCGAGATGAGTGGATACGTCAAAAATTTATGGAATCAGACAGCGAAAATGAGTTCCTGTTAGAAAGCAGTGAAAATGAAAATCATTTGAGTGTACGCAGTTGCGGTAGTGATACTGAGCAGAACATAAGCAGTGAATATGACAGCGAAGATGACGTTCCGATATCGAGCTTGCGAAGCCAGAATCAAATTCTGCTTGAAGAAGAGGAATTAGATGCCCAGGTGAGGGATTCGTTTTATACTGGTAAAGATGGCTCCAAGTGGTTCAAAAATCCGCCTTCACGGCAAGTTCGGACGCGCTCAGAAAATATTATCAAACACCTGGTGTGAGCGCAGAAGCAAGATTAGCACAGTCAGAACTTGAATGCTGGAGCTTGTTTTGTCCCGAAAATATGATTTCCATTATCCTGACTCACACAAATCTACAAATTCGAGAGAGAAATGCTAGTCGTGAAAACATTCCTCACTTCATGATAGAATTAGAAATGAGTGAATTGAAGCCTTTCATCGGTTTATTGTATATTGCCGGATTTTATCGCTCTGGAAGGCAAAATACTGCAGATCTGTGGGCTTCCGATGGTACAGGAGTCGAAATATTTCCGTTGACAATGTCACGTCAACGATTTCATTTTATTCAGAGCTGTCTCCGTTTTGATGATAAATCTACGCGTGAAGAAAGAAAACTATTGGATAACTTAGCTCCTATACGTGATATATTCGAGCTGTTCGTTGAGAACTGTAAGAAATCATACTTCTTGGGCGAATATGTCAGCATTGACGAAATGTTGCTGGCATTTAGAGGAAGGTGCAAATTTAGACAATACATACCATCCAAGCCTGCAAAATATGGCATAAAGGTCTTAGCAATGGTTGACGCGCAAAATTTTTACATTTTCAACCTCGAAATTTATGCAGGAAAGCTGCCAGAAGGACTATTTTCCGTAAGCAATAAACCTTTTGACGTGGTGAATCGTCTAGTGCTGCCCATTTCAAAAACTGGGCGGAATGTTACTTTTGACAATTGGTTTACCAGTTATGAACTTTTATTACATCTACTCAACACAAGGAAAAACAAGAGAGTACTCCCGAACAAGTTCTTGAAAACGAGCGATCGTGATGCAGATGTTTATTCATCGAAGTTCGGCTTTCAAAAAGATATAACTCTGGTATCCTACATACCAAAGAAGAAAAAAGTTGTTCTGCTCATGTCAAGTCTCCATCACGACGCTGATATTGACGAAACTACTGGAGAGAGAAAAAAACCAGAAATAAACACATTCTATAACTCCACTAAAGGAGTAGACGTTGCAGATGAGTTGTCCGCAACTTATGATGTAAGCCGCAACTCCAAAAAATGGCCTCTGACTGTGTTCTATGCAATTTTGAATATGGCAGGGATCAATGCAAATATTGTATTCAAATGTAATACAAATTCAACCCAAAAACGCCGTAATTTTATCAAAACTTTGGGCCGTATGATGGTAGCCGAACATATGAGTGCTCGAAAAGAAATACCTCAGTTGTCCAGCCAGCTACGTAAAAGAATGAGATAATTTGGAGGAGAATCTGCTCAGGAGACGCCTGTAAGGGTCCCAGGTGTACGAAAAAGGTGCCAAGTGTGTCCTTATGCCAGACATCGAAAGACGAGCAATGTCTGCGAAGATTGTCATAAGTACATTTGTCCAGAACACACAGTTTCTTTTTGCCAAGAATGTGCTGTAACCGACAATAATATTGAGTAACTATAAGTTTTATTTATTTTATTTTATGTGAAACTGATTGATCTTATTGTTGATTACCAAAAATTATCTTAGTTAGTTTGTTTTTTTACTTCTATTTTATGTTACGTTGTTTTATGTACGTAAGTGTTGAAAAAACTTGTTTGATTTTTAAGTATTATAAAAGTGTGAATAATAACAAAGTTTTGTACCAATATTGATGTTTATTTTTATTTACATGGTAAAAGAAATGTCTATTTCCTTTCATTATTATGTAAAAGTCACAAAACAATTTCGAAAACAATGCAATTAAAATACACGGTCATAGATACCCTCCGCAACCTCCATGTAATTATTTTCACCACATTCTCGCCGAGTTAATGAAAAAAAATTAATTTGCAAATTGTATGTGGTTTTATTATCTCTGCATTTGGCAAGGAGTAAGAGGATTGTCAAAGACCCCGCATTACCGATACTCGTGTGAGTTACAGGAAATAAAACCACATACAATTTGCAAATAATTTTTTTTTCATTAAAATAAAATAATTTAATACGTTTTTTTGAAAAAAAAAAATGTTTCTATACGCTTGGCTACTGA